GTAAATAAAATTTTAAAACACTGTAAGGTCACTGATACTATGGGATTCCTGTTGTCAATTCTCCTCTATTTCCTGCTTTTAATGCTGCTTTTTTCCTGGCTCCCACCTTAGTCTAATTCTTGTCCACACCTAGATTGCAGCTAATACATATATGTTAATGACTATGCCTCTAACCTTGATTTTGCACCAGACCTATGTATACAGCCCACAGCCTTTGGGTCAGGTGACCCTTGAGCAATATAAAATGTATAAACCTAAAACCTATAACCTTTCACCTCCCCTACTTCAAGATCTTCTGCCTCCACATTTCTTGTTTTAAATGATGATACTGTCTTACCTTACAGCTCTGTGTAAAAGGCAGATTTAGGTATTTTACTTCACTTCTTACAGCTTTTTAGACTAAGCCTGGCACAAGCCCACATACGATTCTCATTTAGCTGCCTCATCTCCTGACACATCTGTCACCAACATAGACCTGGAATTACCAAAATACTGAATTCTGGAAATATCATGAGTTAACACATCTCTTGTCTCCATCCTTCCCTCTACCCTTCTCTTTGTTTGGAGTTTCCAACCTCATCACCACCTCCTCCTCATTGTCCTCTGACTTCTTCTCTCTGAAGCCTTCCTTGATCTTCTAGGCAAGTTTAAAGTCTCTCTCATCTGGCTCCCTTTGAAATTTGTACTTATCTATGAGAACAGCACTTATCTCCTTGTATTTTTTTATATTTATTGCCTTCTTCCTCTAGGATACTCAATTTCTTGACACCAGAGATTATGTCTCTTTCACATCGATATTCCCAACATTACACAGATCATAACAAATAGAAGACTCTCAAGTTTATTGAATATTTCCCATCATCCTTCACCTTTCTTACTCTACTGGGGTCACTCTTACCCTTGAGTGCCCCAAGCAGGCTTCCACATCTGGGTTTTTCTTACTAGACTATTCTTGCTTCAAATAGTCTCCTTAATCCCATCATTCAGATCCCTGCTCAAATGCCACCCCATTAGAGACATCTTTACTGCAATATAGATAGTACCTACCTAACACATTCCCTCTTCCCCTTTACCCTGTCTCACATTTTTCATTGCAATCATCATTAGCAAATATATTATATGTTGTTGGAATATATTTTTACATGTATCTCCACCACAAGATAAGCATCAAAGCTTGGGACTTTGAATTATTCAACAAATGAACAAAGATCTGATGCATCTATAAAAATATAAATGATGGTATTTATCACCTACATATGACACTGTCTCTCTTCCATTTCCCGTTCATTTGCTTTATTCTCACCAAGCCATATATCTATGACAAAAGAAAGATTAAGACACAAATTTCCAAGAATTGTCAAGTATAATAAGACTGAGTAAGCAACAATATTATAAAATGAAAATGGGCAATGGTTCAGCTAACTTTTTTTTTAATTGTTTTTAACGTTTATTTATTTTTGAGAGACAGATCATGAGCTGGAGAGAAGCACAGAGAGGGGGAGACACAGAATCTGAAGCAGGCTCCAGGCTTCAAGCTGTCAGCACAGAGCCAGATGCGGGGCTCGAACCCACAAACCGTGAGATTGTGACCTGAGCTGAAGTAGGCTGCTTAGCCGACTGAGCCACCCAGGTGACACTGAACTCCTACTTTTATTCTGTTCACTGTCACTTTCAATCCAATCTGGTAGTGTTTCTGCTGAAATAATTGTCTCAAACACTTCCTGAGTCCACCATGGATTTCAATGAAGTTTACTCCTTTAGAAAAAAGCCACACCTACAGATCCTTTCCAGATAACCTGTACCTGTGGCCCCTGCTCAGATAGCTGAGGAACATTTCTCTTAAGCTTCCTAGAAGTACTATCATGTGGTTGGAAGTCACATCCAAACCGCTTGAAAGAGCTCCTTGTGCAACTGAATACTCCCACCCCTCAATCCTTCTGAAATTTTGATCAAAGATTATATAGTCACACTATCACATTTTTTCTTTGTGCCACACTATCTTAATTTTTGCATCTTTTTCTGTTAGAATAAATTGAGAATTTTCAGATTCATCCAGTCCTGGTTCCTTTTTGTTTCACAATTCTTTCCTCCATTTATCTCTCTTCTCTTCATTTCATTAAAAGCAGCAAGAAGAAACCAGGTGAAACCTTCTTACATTGCTTTGAAATCTCCCCAGCTCTACAACAGAGTTCAGCTTTCTGCATAACTATAGGAGGCAATTTCAAAATTTTTCTGCAACTCTTGACCTGGAGTCCGCTCCTCCAGTTCCCAATAACATAATCTTTACTTCCTTCTAAGACTTCACTAGCAGTATCCTTAAAGTCCAGATTTCTGTTAACCCTTAATATAGGGCAGATAGAGCTGGATCTAGAAACACATTGCCGGATTTCCCTCCCTGATGCACACCAGGAAGTTAGGACCATGCAGAAAGTCACTTCATAACCTGAAGTCTGTCCCTCAGGCACAGGCCTAAGAGGTATTTCAAGGTGTTTCTCTCCTCCCTCCATCTATCCACAACCATTCTATATCCATGAAGTTTCTACATCCAGAAATAGAAACTCCCAGAAACAACTTACAGAATGAGGACAGAGAAGAAGGTACAAAAGTAGGGTAGCTATAATTTATGTTTATTTGGTTGCCAAATATAAAATGCTCTTATGTCTTTTTTTCAGATCTTTAAAATAAGGAAGTTTGCCTGGGGAACCTCAAAAGGCCCTTTAATTCTAATTTTTGTGATTTTATGATTTGAAAAGATAAAATTTAAATTAGTGCCGGTGTTGAAGTAGAACTATCAAAAATGCTAGTCTTGGCACTGAAACCAAGCCCTTGATCCAGTGTCAGTTGAGAGCTCAGTGATGTTGGCCCCTACTAATATTCCAGCCACCCAGAACCGAGGGAAAGCTGAGTGAAAACTAAGGTCTAAGAATTAGGAGGCCAACTTGGGTAATCAGCAGTCAACTTATAGATGAAAATGAGCACCTTCGTGGGCACATCACAAATACACACCAAAAATCTGTCACACTCAAACTCCAAGTCCCAGGGGGAGATTTGCTAAAACGGATTACCTCCCAGACTGGTAAACATACAGGTAAACCTACAGGTAAAATATCTCCTTTTTCCATCCCCTGACATCTTTTATTTACCCTGCTACTTACTATGAATAATTCTGCTTCTGAGTATGTGTAGATTTATTTCAGAGCAGTTGCTTTCATTTCCATCTTATTGTTTTACTCAAGGTTAAACCTTAATGTGGTGATACTGGAATGTGTCCCCACCTCCCCAGTGGTCTAGGTGCTCAGGACTGAGCACTCTTTGTTACAACTCCTCAGGTTCTTCTAATGTGCCCCCAGCCCTGAGAGACACAGGCCTAGAATATTTTAAGGCGGCTGCTCCTCTCTCTGGCCTCCAGGGGGCAATCGTGCCACTAACACAACTCTCAGAACAATGAGAAGACGCTGACACTCTCTGGGGGTGGGTGAGAGGCCTGAACTCAGGACAAAAAAGGAATAAGGATGAAAATTAGAAGCCTGAATAATATTGAGGTAATGAGGCCGAATCTCTTTAAAATTCTCCTAAAGTTTAGGAAAGTCTGTGAGCAACTCTTTCCTTCTCCCACAAGCACAATTTTCCCAAAGCCTGTCTTCTACCCAATCCCAGGCTTGTAAACCTCTCCATTGGGAGAAGCTCCCTATTTCATTATCATGACTTTGGGCAAGATGCACTTTATAACAATGGTTATAAAGATTCATCCTTTATAATAAACCCCTGTCAGAAGAGTAACTTGGTCAGGAGAACTTGTTACTTATCTTGAGTAGGTCACCCTAAGCTTTACGTGTACCCGTTGGTACTCATGTCAACTTTGACTCTTCTGGAATGATAATTTCAGCAGCCAGCATTTCAGGGTTTTCTGAAATAGTTCTCAGAAACAACCTGGATAAAGGCCACGGATCTTCTGTGGTTTGTATGTTAAGATACATCAGGGTAATGGCGAGTTGTGGGGTTGGGAGGGCCCAGGTACATGATTAGTTCAAGGAGCTCAGGAACTGTCAAAATGAACATTCAGGGGCCTACCTATCTGGCTAAGAATCCTAATGGACTCTGGGATAATGATCGTTTATGAACAAAGTTATTTAATATCCTTAAAAAATAAAACATTTTTACAAAGAAACTCAAGAAAAATTATACCAATTTTTAAAAATGCAATGGATATGAACAAATAATTTCCAAATTAAAAAAAACAAAAAAACAAGCACAGGGGCGCCTGGATGGCTCAGTCGGTCGAACGCCTAACCTCAGTTCTGGTCATGATATGGGTTCGAGCCCCATGTCAGGTTCTGTGCTGACAGTTTGCTCAGAGCCTGGAGACTGCTTCAGAGTCTCTGTCTCCTTCTCTCTCTACCCCTCCCCAGCTCACACTCTGTCTCACTCTATCTCTCAAAAATAAATAAATGTAAAAAATTAAACAATTACAAAAAAACAAGCACAAATACGAAAAGAATCCAATGTCATGGTGAACAAATGCATTATAAAACAATGAGCAAATATTTTTTTCTCTACAAATTGTTAAGTACTTTGTTTTAAATCATTAGATGCTGATGTCATGAAACGAAACTCTTAGAAAATGCTATAAAAATGTTAATTTGTACAGTCATTGGAAGGGTAATTTATTAATATGTATAAAATTATTTCACCCAACAATTCTATATTAGGAAATTTTTTTTATATTCTCCCATTCATTGTATTTTCAGAGTATACAATGCAAAACTGGCCTTTCAACTCTAAGATACACAAATATGCTATCAACAAATATTCTCACTTTATAAATGTTCAAGGTAGGGCCAAGTCCTTTAAGTACTGGTGCTATCTCTTGCACATTTTCTGAGGGGAGTTGGCAAAAGGAGCTCGGGCCCTCATACCCTTAATCCTGGATCTGTTAGGTGACTTTCCAATGTACAGATAGAGAGGTAGGGGTGCTAAAGAACTTACACCCAGACCAGAAAAGAAAAGCAGTTGTTAGTATTTAATGAACCTCTCTCCATGTGGCTTCAGGCTACTAAGACACAGGCTCCCCCACACCCTTAATCTTTTCCTCAGCTCTTTTACTGAAGAATTTGGCCTTCACAATGACAGGCAGTTTGGGGAGCTTTCCCTTTCCCAATACTTTGTAGTAGCCCGATCGCACCACATCAATGATAGGAGCAGCTCCAGTCTTGTTTTTGGCAGCATTTACCCATGTCTCCTTACTGACCAAGGTCCACAGTTTATCAAGGTTAACAGTTGGGCAGAAACTCTGGTTCCTTTTTAAGTGGTAATGCCTCATACCAACTTTTCCAAAGTAACCTGGATGATATTTGTCAAAGTTGATCCTGTGGTGATGCATGCCACCAGCATTACCCCAGCCTCCTGGGTGCTTCCGGTGCTTACGGACGCAGCCGTGGCCATGGCTCACGTGGCCCCGAAGTTTCCGGGTCTTCCTCAGTCTGGATGGCATGTCAGTGGCCCAGAAGAAAGCTCTATATTAGGAAATTTATCCTTAATAAATAATCAGAAATAGGGATGCACGGGTGGCTCATTTGGTTAATCACTAGACTTCAGCTCAGGTCATGATCTCACCGTTCGTGGGTTTGAGCCCCATATTGAGCTCTATGCTCAGAGCCTGGAGTTGTTTCATATTTTCTGTCTCTCTCTCTCTCCACCCCTCCCCAATTCATGCTCTGTCTGTCTCTCTCTCAAAATAAAGAAACATTAAAAATTAAAAGGAAGGAAGGAAGGAAGGACGGAAAAGAAAGAAAGAAAGAAAGAAAGAAAGAAAGAAAGAAAGAAAGAAAGAAAGAAAGAAAGAA